AAATCTATCCCTACAGGTGATAGATTCTGCAGAACTCGAAATTTTCGTCTGGCTCCCCCAGATTGGATTCATATTGAATATTCTGTTTAAACAATGGTTTACGTGGGGTCATACAATAGGCTTGGCGCTTTTTTTTTGTGAAAATTTTTGTGTAATTATAATAAATCTTTGAATGGTTCTGCTGCTGATTAACAGATCGAAGAACCTGAAAGCCAAGCCGGTAAGCTTGTAATGTAATTTTGAGTATGATTTGTTTGAATCACGCCCACGCAAACCAGCAACGATACTTGGGGATCAAATTCACCCGTACGACGTGAGTTGTTTAGGGTTTATCGGCTCTAATTTCGTCTGGCACACAACAAAGTCAACAAAGCATTGTGTGACTGCAAACAGAATATTCTAGCAGTTTTCGAATTCCCAGTTCTGACAAATGAGTGAAATAGCCGATGTTTTGAATTACGTAGCGCTCATACTGCTTATTCATATGAACGTCAGAATAGTACTTGTTTTCAAGTCACAAAAATCCCAGAAATGCCAGAAACCAGGAGAATGGGGTTTGTTCGGTTACGATTGCTGCACTAGCTGCCTCTATGATAGTCAGAGTTACTAAAACATTACAGCAAGGGGTCACGGGCTATTTCCTTTGAAGAAACACTTCTCTTCTAGTCGTTTCGAGTGGTTTCACGCCATTCTCCACTCAGCAAAGTTGTGAATCGGAATTTTTCATAACGACTTGCCACTTCGGTAATTTAATTTGTTTCGTTCCGCTTTCCGGACTATAATTCTATAACTAACTGTTATTGCAGTGTTTTCCTGTTACTTCAGCTGTCTGTTGGTGTTTTTGATCATAGCCACTTACTTGTATGTCGTGCGTGCCGCGCTCGTGACTACAGGCTCAAAGTGGTGGAGATTGCGATGGCGTCAATCAGCTCTCCAGTTCAGTCCACTTTAGCTTTCTTCCGCTCGAGAACGTGGCCGGTTTTCAAATCAAAATCGAAGCCAATTCGAGTGGTCTTTTTCACGTAGATTCGCTGCATTCTGTGCACTCAACAAAATTAGGGGCGCTATTCGAGATTCTGACCAAAAGGCCTTTTGTGCGCCAATATGAAAAGTAATGTGGGCTTTCGTTCCAGGGTGTGTGGCAAAAACGGCGTCAGCTTGATTGGATATGAAAAATGTTGACGCGTCTCTTTATTTGAGGATCTTCTTTTCTGGGCTGCTTTGTCCGATAGGGTGCTAGCAAAAGTTTGATTCACTTCTTTGCACACGTTGTGAGCAGGAAAAAACTAAATTTATTCCCGAGGTTTTTTTTTTCACAGTTGGCGCGCGAGCTTTTTATCGCCTACAAACATGGGAAGCGCATAGCTGCAGCGCTATTTTTCTTATTTGCTTTCCAAATTGGCTCATGGTAGGGTGCGGAAGGTCCAAGAAAACGTTTTTCCCCTACGGTGAAAACTGCTCACATCGCGGAGTGACTTATCGTTGTGAGCTGATAAGCAGTTGCTACACTTTGAAGTGATACAGAAACTTAGGCGTGTTTGTTTTATTTGTCGGCTCAAACCGATCCTGAGCCCAATCTCCACGAGGATCTTCTCTCATCTCTGATGATCGCCATATCCATCAGGCGGAAAAAATTTAATTGGGCTTTCAACCTCGAGCTGTTTGCTATGCTTCCTTTCAAGGAATTGCGATGAAATAAAAAAGAAAAAGCATGGTGAAGCGATTTTTTTCAGCTAATGTAGCTCTGCTCGGGTTTCTGCTCTACGACCATCACGAACCCTAACTTTCACTTCAAGTTATTCTTTATGGAAAATTCTGATAGCAAAAGTCATAGCGTTGCTCAATACCCCAGATCTTCACCATCGATACGGATGAATAGAGAGAACCTCCTGAAATCATTACCGCGATGAGACTCTTCTCATCAGTTGACAGTTTCCCCGAAGGTCGCTTTTGCCAATTGGAATCTCAACTACCACCCGCTATATACACATACACATGAGTAGCGCCTTCAACATCATGAACGCCCTTCAACTATCAAACGACTTGCTGCTATTGTGTGGACATGATCATCGATCAACCCTTTAGTGATGTCATACTTATATCAGCCAATTACTGTACCTGTGGGGGCAATCGCGGCGAGACCAATGTTCACAGCAAATAATTTTAGCTCGTCATCGGCTTGATGCATGAGTCAAAGAATATTCTGTTCCCACTAAGAGAAAATTGTTGCATAAAGTTTTGAGTCCCGTTTCCCGTTATTTTCCTCTCGAAAACCCAATCCGTAAATGACCATTCAAGGCCGCAATCTTAATGAAGGATTCATTTCAAAAATCGGCTACTTTCAACTAGAAAGGCCTTCTAGATTTTAATACTTTACAAGAAGGGTAGCAGGTGGTTGTAGCAGCTTTTTTCCAGGATATCAGGAACTCGGAAGCGTGCTCATATTTCGGCACTCACTCAATCACTGCAATACGAATGGAGTAGAGCCGGGCCACCCATGAAGTGCGCCCAAAGGCAGCTATGATTTTTATACACAAAATGATCTAAAGATAGCCCTGTTTCAAATTGGATTTTATTGCCCATGCGACATTTACGTGGAATATAACTTTTGTTAGCTGAGCTAGATAGTCTGGCCCATTCTGTCCGACTCGATCACTTTAACACGTTGCCAATGCACAATGCTTTACAAAGCGCTCTAGTAAATTGTAAAGTAACCCTGAGAAGCGGCTCACTAGAAGTTACTCTATTTCACGCACTACTTCTGCTCTGCAAAAATAGAAGCGCTTAACCGAATTGTTTCGGCATGTAATTATCTCGAGCTCTTCGACCTTTGTTCTCTTGCGAGTCAGGAAATTATGTCCAAATTACTATTTATTGCTAAACGACAGGCTCGTTGAGGACATTGGAGAAGAACTAGCTGACCCAGATCTGTTAAGTAACTTTGAGCAGAAGTTCCTATAGTAGCATGAATAAGATTCGAGCAGACAGAGTCGAAAGAAAAAGGCATAGTCAAAGTCCCCATTGTAGGAATTTCCTATCCCTCGAATCGAAGAATTTATGGATGTAGGAGAGTTCACCTCAGGCGGTTGTCTTTGGTAAAATGTTGACGTAACGCACTCCTGCAGAAATAGCAGGTTCTACGATAGATTACCCCTCACAGATATCCTTCTTCTCCATCTAAGCAATCAAACTTGCTACAGCTCCTTTTTTTGCTTCATGCATCTCCACGAATACCTAAGCTGCGCGAGTCTCCGGGTGCCTCTTGAATGTCTCATTATAAGTGAGCAGGTTTAGCTTGTTCACAAAATTATTAGCCTATGTGCAGAATCGAGTTGAAAGGTTCAGAACACTGGAAAGACAAAATGCCGTTCCGTCACAATTAACACATAAGGTTGCGTTGTGGTTGCGCGCTCAATTGCGATCCCACTGACCGTCACGCTATTTTGTATGGAGAAGAGGGGAGAACTTCAGCTCTAACCGTTTTCTTCCCTGAACGAAATTCGAGTCCCATCATCGACACATGCTGATAAAACGTTCGCTTGGCGCGAACATTTAGTCTCTTATGCCATTACCGGTCCTGGTGTTTCAATCAGGTCAAGCTTTAAATTGACCTGCATCATGCCAGCAATGAGTAGCCCAAGATCCAATCCAATTTACGTATAGTGAAGTGAATGTGAAAACGAGAGCGCATATTGCTTGCTGATGGGTATGGCAAGATAGCGACGGCGAGATCAAGCGAATCGAAATTGATGCGAATAGCCAAGCCCGAGGATGCTATAGTTGAAGTGCTGCTTCACAAAAGCATTCTTTCATTGAACAAAGCAGTATACATCTAAGCAAAAAGCAAATGAAAGCTGCTCTATTGAATATGAGAAGGGTACAATTGCTAGAGCTGGGTACCTCTTGAAATTGTAACAGCGGTTCCCGAATCAAATCACTCGCTCGTAATTTTAATTAGTGGTAGAATTTCGGCGCAGTGAATGAGAACAGTCATATTCTTGCCTTCTTCATTAAAAAATAGAGTTTTGCATCATGAACTTTGCTTTGCCGTCTTTGTTTGCCTTATCAATCCCTGTTAACATACCAACGATTTTCAACGAATCTGAGCATCAACGATTCTTCGTAGAGGAGCGATACAAGCCAAAGCTCATGTTTGACAGCAAGAGTTAACTGGTTTTGGCGTCACTGTGTGCAAATATGCGATTTCCTCCTCCCGCTGTTTCATTAATTTAGCACCATCTCATAGGCCCACATCGCCACCTTGATTCAAGTAGGACCAGCAATTACAGATTTCAGGATCCTCTTCAGATCCAACAACCACAAAACACTGAGGAAAAAAGATTTAGCCCGCGTATTATTTCTTTTTTGAAGAGCTCAGTGGTCCCATAACTTTTGAATGACCTTTGAGGTCAGTTCCAAAAGTTTGAATATTCATTTTGAAATGTGAATACATTGACGTAGTTACAAAGCGCAGATTCTAAAGGCAAAACATTTGCTCATTGAAATAGCCCTCTGGGTAGTTCAACCACTTTTAGAGGATTTTTTGAGGGAAAGCGACTGCAACAGTGAAAGGATAGCGTTGTTCTAGTCTCGCCTGTATTCATGTATTTGTACTACCGTATTTATGGCTGCTCGGCAGAGATATTCGTGATAATCACTTGACCTATACGGTATTGTTTTGGAATACGGAAATCGGAGGTCTCCAGAGTGAGCAAGGCGGAGTTTCTGAGTCTGTAAGCGTTTAATTTATTGCCCCTACTGTGTGAAACGAATAGAAATCCTTGCAATCATAATTTTAAATGAGGACGGACTTCAGGAATGTTGAATGAATTGTCATTGAAAACAGTGCAGGAGCTCTTTCTCAAAGTTCTTTTACTCCCGAAAACTTAAGTCCTCACGTCATGCAACCCCATCTATTACGGATCTCAAAGAAATTCTGAATTCAATGATTTTTGTATAGCTTCTCCTGAAAGCGTGTAAATCACAGATCGCCAATACATTCACCTACTTACCCACGTATTCGTGCCACTTCTTCCGAACCGTATAAACTTTGCTCCACCTCCACGTCCAAATCGGATGAATTTTGGAGCTCGAACGACTCGCTGAGGCTCGTACATGTCATCACTGAAAAATTCTTCAATTTTTTGGAACAAAGACCACGTTTTGGCTGAAAGTCCCACTTTATCGGCGAAAGCGCCTATGGAAGCGAAAAACGACCAGGATGACATTTAATCTGGAGTTGATGAGCAACAAAAGTGCAGATATGGAGAATCCCTGCCTTATGTAATTGTGCCCTTTAGAAGCCGAAAATGATGAGCTACGAAGCCTACGATAGAGACTTTCCTATAGGTCAACGATATTGCTTCGTTATTTTAGTGATATCCCTTAGCTCTCAGGAAATCTGGTCACAGAGGAATTCTTTTGAAGTAACGGTATAATTCAAAACAATATCTATGGTTGTATATAAGTAGAACCACTCGGCGCAGCCCTGAGTGGCGCGAATCTCAACCCTCACGTCCGATTACTTTTGAAAACTTGATACAGAAAAATAAATGCAAAAAAATGTTATTAGTAGTTATGTTGAAACTAATGTATTAATATCCAGGTGTATCCAGTATTTTGCGCTAAGCCCCCACTATCATAACTAACTATCATCGATGTTTTTTGAAGGCTTGTTCGATATGTTGCTTCCCCAATCGAAAATGCAATGATTTGTCAACAAAAATATCTGAACTTGGACTGTTTCAATGGCCAGCCGCACCCCTTGCTGCGGTCATTGTATTACATCTTAATTCGATCCTATTCACGATCCCACATTGAATTACTGAACTTTCTCCAGTGGAACTTCACCTTTTTTCAGTTTAGGCAGCACCGTGCTACAGCGATTTCGCATAACAGTCTTCAGAATTCGGAAAAATTTTGAAGTAGCCACAAGACCAGATCCTTTAGATCTAGATATTTGGATCTGGCTATTTGTATAATCATTTTGGTGGAAAAACGCAGTTTCTTTCCAGAGCAAACGGTTGTATATGGAGACATGCATCTTCATATACCGACGCTATCTGGTCTCCAAGCTTCACACAAAAGGTACCACGGAGGTTAGATTGGTGGCCTCCCCTTGTAATGTCCCGGTCTAGAATCCGCCGCATCTCAGGGTGAATAAGTTCGAATTGAAGACTGACAACGAAAGTAGCAGCCATTACTGAACACACCAGTAGTCAGCACGCCCGTTGGGGCGAACCTATCGTTTTATCACTGATTTCCAGGGTATCAATGGAAATAATTAAAGTAGCACGGTCCAGCTGTTGCAGGCTCACAATTAGTCAGGGGTAATCCGATTGTTATGTATGAGCATTATGACTTATATCCCAAGAAATTCATTCCATCAAATCTATGGGCGATTTACGACTCCAAGGGACGAAGCCACTTCATTGGGTAAGAAACCTCGACCAGTACAAAACGCTTTTTTTACGAATTATTTTGTCTTTTTGAGGAAGTCGGGTGACAGAAAGCTAAGGGGTAGGTAGGGCTGAGCGATTTCGCTTTTATTGCGTGTTGGCTGAAGTACTGGATTTTGCGTGCGAGCAGTCTCCATCCAGTGAAGGGGTGGGTGGGAGCGAAAATCGTCATGCTCATTAAATGTTCTTTCAGTTGCGAAAATCGTTGGCAGTAATTGGACTGTAGTCATTGCTTTTCCTCTATACCGCTCCTATCTTTTCTAGCATGGCTTTAATTGATTGTGAGAACATTGCGTTTACTGTACTGTTACTGAAAAATTCCATTATCGATTTAATTCCTCATCCTTAGAGCTATAGCGAAATTATGAAAAGTATAATATTATATAATGTGATATAATATAACATTATATATCGTATGAAATATATGCAGCACATGTTTCCAGATTTTCGAAAGCGGAGTGCTAGCTATGGTGAGAGGGGCTGTGACGTCAGAAGTTACAGATGTGGTAATTGGAACCTGCTATAAGGCTGTGACTGGACTGTGCAATAAAGCTAATAACGAATAAATAAATAGAGCTAATAACGTTCACCAGCGAAGAATTTCAATTGTTTGACAATTGCCAATTGTTAATCCTTTGTTATTTTATTACAGCACAATGTCGCTCAAAAGTGCTTGGGGGAGAAGAGTCAAAAATCTTTTCAGTGCGAGAAACCCATGAATCCAGAAAATGATACTGTAAAGATGTATTATCAAGAGCCTCAGGAACCCTCATTAACAATGAAATGAGTCGGAGATTAGAGACAGCCTCACTTCACAAGCCTCACAATTAGTCATTCACCCGAATTTGCTTTGTCTCCTTTTTTTGAAATGCTGCAAATTGTGCCCACCAGGGCTTTCAGGATTAATAGAACGTTATCTTCTCAAAAGTATTTGATAACTGCTTGTCGGCGCGTTTGGTGGGGTAGGGAGGGAGGGGGGGGGGGGGGGGNTCGGAGGTCGAATTTCAGAGAGGCTGATAAATAAACTTTTAGAACGGTTTTGATGTAATCCATGAGAAGATAAGTTTGATGCAGTTAGAGTCTTCTGTTTTAGCCAGCAATAAAGATGAATACAAGCTGGCGTCGAAACCAGTTGTTCCCTTCACTGATAGTAGCAAAGATCCAAGTAGTTTTCGAGCGATTGTGGACATATCTATTCGAAACTCTATAGAAACACATAGCAATGAATTCTGAAGAGATGTTTATGAGGGTAACAGAGTATGGGGTAGTTCCTAGCGCCTACTTCCTAGTAAACCTAAAATTGCTGAGAGTATGTTTCTGATGGCTAGATGATCAGGCTCAGCAAACAAAGCTTTAATTAGGAAACGCTAGAGCGGACGTGAATGTTCAGGCAAAAAGTTATGTCGGCGTTTCATGAACGATTGTTAGGCCGAGATGAGGAGTGGCTTTCGACAAATATTCCACCCATCTCAATTCACGTTGCATATGTTATATCTGCATACTTTAATTTAATTTATGATGTAATGACGCTAAGTACTTACTCCGGCCCTCCTTGTCATCAATGGGTAAGATAACAGTTCTTGCTTTCGCATTCTCACCAATTCCCTTTTATTCTCTTTAAGACTTTTTACTTTTTCAATCCTAGTTGGTTAACAGTCGCTCCAGAGGCCTCAGGAGGGTGAATAGGAAATAAAAAGATTAAAATTTTCCCCTTATCTATTCAGTCCCAGCTCTCGATACTAACCTTTAGGTGAGAAGTCACAACATTCGGCTTTCCAGAGGACAATAAAAGCCACTTGTTTTTATTTTTTGCGCCACGTCCCAGCTGTTGCCTGAGGTTTCATATGGAGGAAGTGGTAGGGACTCCGGAGATGTTGTTTTGCTTTGGCCTGTTGATCGAGAAGGGAACTTCCTCAGCAGTAAACCTTTACCAGCTCTTCCACCAGTAAGAAAGAACTGACCCTCCGGAATGTTCTTTTGCCATACTTGCATGGACGTGGATGGAAATATCCCCCAACATTTTCCCAGATTTTTCAGATACTGCCGTCCGTAATCTTGAGTCTGAGCAAACATACAGGTCGAGCCCTCCATTCACTTTGTGAGTCGAAATGGCGGTCATTTAAGAATTTAATTAGTTCTTAGAACACCAAATGAGAAATTCAGGATGAATACGAGAATTTCATAGAGGTAGTGTTAATATCATTTTTGCCGTAGCGCGCTAACATCTCCTTTTCTTCTGATACTGATAGAAGATCATGCTAAGAATTAATATTCCCCACTGGGAGATAATTCCAATGAGGAATAATTTCATCGAATATTGTCTCGTGAGGAAGACCTACACAAGCAGAGTAGCTTCAGTTATTTTACTTCTTTCACCAATTACTGCTTCTTTTTCAGAATACAGTATTTCCTTAATATAAAGTTAATCGGTGGAGGCTCTTTCCAAGTTGTTTACCAATACTAATGATATCCCAAACGTAACGACAAAGCTGGTATCACATTTGAACGGTTTAAAACCAGAGGTGCTGCTGATTAAGTTACCATATCCTCTAACGCTTTTCTGCAGCAGCATGAACGAAATAAATCAGGATGTGGGTGGCGTAATTCGAAGTTTTTAAGACTCAAGTTCGTTACGAAAGCAGTCATATTTGAAGTGTGGAATGAAATGTTGAGAAATCAGGGGTAAAATCATGGAAAAATGGCTGCTGGAATCAATAAGAGTCAGGACCGCTGAGCTTCTATTACTGAGTGTACATTCCTTGTACTAACACGCCCTACCTACCTGTAACCACTACGTTCTACCAGTCTTGATTGGACTGGATGTCTTTTTTTTCGCAGAGAGTCAACCTTAGTTCACCGAAACACAGTATTGTAGCCTGATCGTTGTTGAATCTGGGAGCTTTCAGACTGATTTATCAAGGACGCTTGTTGAAATGGTCAAATGTACACCCAACAGTTACTAAACACATTTTTCCAACTGCCGCCCATTCTCCCCAACTTTTCGAAGAGGAGTCGCTACAAATTGTCTGGAGAAGGATGTCAATAACACATTCGAATCTTCTCCTAGAATTGACATGATAGGAGTTTTGGGTGATAGGATTGTCTCTCTCTCAAAGTTGCTTCAATTCCATTTCATTATTCCAAATGAGAATCTCGGGCGAGATGGTGAGAAAGCCATCTATCGTCTATTCCCATACCTTCGTAGGCCGCAAGACTGGAGTAAGGAAATCTTGAAGTACCAGTGAAAGAGTTAGGAGTTTCTGAGGGATTAGAAGCAATTTACGAGGTTGTGAAAGTGACCGACGATTCAAATTTTGAAATATTTTTCTCAAAGCGTCAAAGCGCTCACTATCTAAAGGTAACGTCTGAATATGCTCCACAGCACCGAACCCCCCTCATAAGACAAATACCAGGCTCCATAGAGCGGTCTATTGCGTGTCTCTACTGTCTCTTCATTGGACTTCTCAAATTCAATAAAGGGTTCGCTTACTTTTGAGGAGTAATTTTTGAAGGCTCTGATTTTTGGAGTTTGGAATTTGCGTGCGAAACATTGTTTTATTCATAGAATAGTCGATTGCTTTCTACTGTATGAGGTTACAGCTTAATCTGGGTTCGAGAGTAGATCTTGTGTGTACGATGCAGTCAACGCGTTATTCCAGTTTTATTGGGACATTCTTAAAATCATGGTGCTCCATGGAGCCTACAACATAGCTAACAGTTTTATCTGAGTTTGAGGGTTTCCAAAATGATATGCTGCATGATAATGTTGT